CCTGTCCTAACTAACTACCTCTGGGTCTCCAAAGATGATATCTGCGACTCACCAGTACTGTTTCTCTATATTTTATAGCTATTGATACAGAGTTTACCGGCCTCTATACAACTGACAGTTCTCAACCAAGGTGATAAATGTTTTCTTTGAGCGCTTGATGTTATAAAGGCAATTAGATTGTGTAATAAAATGACCTCATATGTCACAATAATTCAGTTTAGCACCCTCTCTCCAACAAGCATATTTCCCACAAAATGTGTACAAGTTTCCAGAAAATATGCACACCCACCCAAAGGAGGGTTATTGGAAAATTCTAGTGGATGGGGGTCTCAAAAGCAAAAAGTTTTTAAAGGAATGTATTAGCCAAACTGGAATTTGCAGAGGGATTGTTGGGGGAGTGGGTGGAGTTCAAGTCAAAAATCCTTCGTAGAAGGAGCATGGCTATTTTCTGGGCATATAATACAATAAACACTACATTTTAACCATGTGCTCCTTTTTTTCTTTTTCAACAAATTGTTCCTATATCCTGCTTTTAATTAAACCAAGGTTGCTAATCATGAAGTTATTCAAGATCAAAATGAATTTTCTCCAAAGTATTCACTCTCTCAATACCTTGCTGAGCTAAATGTACCTAAAACAACACCTCTGACATGTCAACCAGTAATTTTGATCATGAAATGTACTGAATTTTACATACTAGCTTGTTTGACGACCCTGAGACAAGATACAAAAAATTAAAGAAAACTGCCTCTCAGTTTCTGATCAACCAGTTTGGTAAGTTATGCTAAGTTGCTTGAATATGTTGTTTTTAATATATTTTTTTAATTATTAGCCTTCCTTCACGACTCGTACAATTAATTATTAGTCCATAATGGGTTTTTTTTTTTCAACTTATTTTATTGCACAGGGTTGACAGCTTTTGTTCAGTCAAAAGAGGATTCCAACAAGTATGCCACTTCAAGACTTAGTCTTTCTTTTCTCTAATATTATAAGGGGTTAATTTACATACATACTGATAATACAATATAATGATAATACAATGTATATGACTTTAAAGTACATGACTTGTATATGTACTTAGATTATGATATTATATCTAGCATAGCTCTAAACTTAATAATAATTTATTATGAACCTTTATTATCAACCTTGCCATTGTCACTTAAATGCTGCTCTTTTCTTTTCATCCACAGATATGTAGCACATACATATAACTTCTTTTTGTATCCTCATTCCTTTGGACCTGTAGATGTAAGATTTTTGAGTCAGGTAATTTTTATTGTCTTCTATGAAAACGTTAAAATAGGCAGTAAAGAGCATTGCAGAACCTCTCTGCCAAAAGCAGAAAGAGGGACATGGTTTCAGTGTTTATCAGATTCCAGGAAGAATCTGTTTATTGCAGCACACTGATAAGCGATACTGTCCTAGTTCATCCATTTAAACTGTCTCTGACTCATCATAAGCCATGGTTTCCTTATCTCTTCATGGTTCTTTTTCTTTCATTGGACGTGGTTGAACTGTCCTCATAAGTTTATTTTATCACAGAATATTCTCCAACAGTGAAGACATTNTTGTGAGAAGGTTCCCCTCTCACCAATATGATGTGGGCTCACATCCCGGACCTTCCTTTGGGGGCCAAATATTTTGTCCCTTTCATAAAATGGCCTGTTTTCTGCAGTGGCATAATTTGGTTAAACAGTACATCAACAAATTTCTTCATAGGCAAATAGATGAAGATATTCTGGAAAGATGTTGTGCAAAGATAGAGGAATGGGTTTCATCAGCAAAGGAGGGAGACAAAATTGAGTTAAATCTTGGCAGTTGTAAGTTAGCATATACCTATGCTTTGAAATTATGCATTCTTCCATAAGTGGCGGTAATATTTCTATACTTGTGAACCTTAAAACAAATTCCATAGTAATCGACGTCCAACAGTAACAATTAAGTGTAGACATGATGATAGATGCGAATGCAAATCCCGTTCAAAGCATGAAAATTTTTTCAGGTCTTTTTTCCAGTAGTGTTATGGCTGCATTCGCATCTATCATTATGTCTACTTAAACAAAATTAATGTTTTAAAATTTCAAATTATAAACACATTTTAATAAAGTAAGTTCAGCAGGACAAAATGAGCACCTTGCAGTAGCTTAAATTTCTGCTGTCTCCTCTGGTCATTTACTCCAAAAGCAGGCTTGTTTCGTTGAACATTACTAGTTACCGTAAGTCTTTTAATGTTTTGCAAACACCCCACTTCAATTTATATATGCTAATGGCAATGCTTGTTGAGTGAAGCATGTGAATGGAATTTAGAATATCAGACGTCTAGAGCAGACATGATCATTTTTCTGAACCTGTAGAGGAATTTCATTTCGACATTAATTTATTTTAGGTCAAGCCCAGTATCTTCTCCTTGAGGAAGTAAGAACAAGATTTCCTGGGATTAAATACCAGACCAAGAAACAGTTTAAGGTAAATAATCACAGCAGATGGAGATCTTAGTGGTATCAAAATTTTTAGTACAAATATATTATATATAACTTGCAAAATTCCTAACACCGTGGGTCAAGAGGTATGATTTATGGGAACTTGAGCTCAAAGTCTAGTTATTGTGATAAAAACCATGAAGAGCATTTACTTAGTTGTTTTGTTATTGAAATAACACTTTTTGATATGGATGAGGATCCCTGCCTTTTTTCATGTCTTTGAAAAATCCGTTTGTTTTAGATGGCTTTTAGTTTTATGTCCCATCCAAGCAGAAAAGGAAGGAAGGAGATTTTTCATTTTTACTGAAGGTCTCTGGGATTTCATTTCATTTCAATTTTGATTAACACTTTAGGTGCTTGTCACAAAACTGCCCACAGAGGATGATGAATGTGATCAAGGAAGTAACTCAGATCTTCTTACTCAAGAACAAGAAAAGTAAGAAATCCTGATAATCGATGATAAGCCCTGAGGTTATTTTTATATGGATAAAAGCAACCTTGAAACTGTCACTGGATAAATTTGAAGTAAAGTTGGAAAAGTAACTTCAAACTTTCAAAACTAGACATATCAGTATTTGACAGTGAGATGGAAATTAACGTTCAAGAAAGAAAAAATAAAAACACTTTTTAATGACAGTCTACACCCCTAATGTAAAAAAAAATAAGAATTTTAAGAATTTAAGATAACGACATTGTCATAATAGACAGTCCAGCAGGATTGTCATCTCTGCAAGGTGTGATTTTACAGTGTATTTTCCAGTTAGTTTGCATATCTAACATTGTGTCTTATATTCTCTTCCACAGAATCATAAATGCCATGGTTGGTTTTTCTAGAGTTTTCCAAGTTCTAGCAACGTGTGAAAAGGTATGTACATGTAAAGTACGTTTTTTGAAAGTCATTTATAATTCATGAGGTGAAGCGAAAAAAGAAATCATTACGGCGATGGTGTTCAGAAATATATTCTTAGTTAACAAGATTGATATGTATTGTAAGATTTCTCCGTTGACCTCTTAGTGTTAGTTTGGATGTAGAAGATATGTTAAATACTTTAGACAGTGTTTTATCACATTTCCAAACAACTCCAAGTTTGTCAGTACTCTACTGCACGTCATATTTTCAACTCTTTTTCCCTGTTTGTAATTGTGATGAACACCATCTTTCGTATTTCATATGCTACTCATCGCTTTACATCACTTTCCCAGATACTCTGTATTTAATGCGATTTTAAGAAATTTATGAAGAATTCGCAATTTTACCCTATGAGCAAGGTTACTTTAATCTTTCCTCTAAAGCCCAAGGCGCAGAATAAACAAAAAATATTAAGGAAAATGCTACAATTATTTTGAGAGAATTCGAAGTCCACTAGCAGAAGGAACCCACAGATTATTCTCTTCAAAAACAGAAATACTTATGGCGGAAAAAATACTTGAAATAGTCTTTACAACTTTTAGATTGGCTCACTTGCCAGGAATAATAACCTATAAATGAAAAGAGCCGTTTTCCCGGCAGCGATATTAGGTTTCAACATTAAATCGATTTGCTTCTTTCTGTTTCTGTCAGCCTCTTGTGGGACACAATGTTTTGACGGACCTGTTACTGACCTACGAGAAATTTTACAAACCATTACCAGGTAACATGTGCTCCTCCTCAGATGGGGTTTTGCTCCTTATCATGATGGACCTGTTTTGCCTGATTCCAGACAAGCCTGTTTTGTGGCATTTCTAGTATATATATATATATATGCCATGTTGTTTCCAGTTCATATAGCGACCTAACCTGTCTAACCTGTTTTCCATTTTGTTTTGTTTATCCTCCAGATAGTTTTAAGGACTTCAAATCCGAGCTTCACAGGCTATTTCCTCTGATTCATGACACAAAGTTCATTGCTTTTGAAATAAGAAGGAATCCGGTAAGTCCCTGTGGAAACACTTGATAAATTGTCGGTCGACTTGATGGCGAGATAGATAACTCACCTCAGCGAATTATGGCGGCTGTCAGATAGTTATTTTCTCTTTCAAAAATGTAAGTATACCGTTTTTCAACTACTCATTTTAACCTTCAAATCTTAAAGACTGGGAGTTTTTCTTAAAACTGAAATTCTAAGGGTAAGGATAAGGACGAGCAATAATTTCAGTTCCGACCTTGTTCATTGAACTGCCGGCTAGGTCAACTCAAAGAAAACATACTTTCGAAGAAAAAGCAGATATTCGCTCGGAATCTAAAGAAACTGGAAGAAGTCGACTGACGCGAAAATTTTACTGGAAAACTAGAAATAAGTTATCCTGGACTCTCTTCTCATGCCTGGGTTCAACCCCTATATAGCGCGGGGAAGGGAGAGTTCAGCCGGGAAGTAGATTAAATATAGACGTTCGTAATAAGAAGTCCGACGGTTCCTCATTAAATCATGCACTTAAACGCCAATTGTGTTTTTCCTGCAGGCTTTATCACAATGTAATTTCCTTGATGATACGAACTTAGAAAGGCTTCACGCTGCGCTTTCAAGGTAAGGTGGTAGGCTTATTTTGATAGCAATCTAGTTGCTGATCTTTTAAGCCCGGGCCAAGTGAAAACCAGGACGAAGGAAAGTTAAGGTGCGTGAGAGAATTGAAATCCAGGCCCCGTTATGCTAATTGAGTGGAAACCAACCACAAGTGTTTAGAATAGTTTCACTTGGTTAAAGCAAAAAAAACGTTCTACTGCCGTTAAATGAATTTTGCCTTCACTTCACTGAACAAACTCTAACGACATGAAATCCTAAACGCTTTATAATGGGAAAAGATACATCTTTCTTTAAGAGCTCTATCTAAACAGCCTATGGGCTTATATTAGGGTAGAGGGAGGGTGGATTGATTATCGGAAATATTTTGTCTACGATTTGGGAGACCGGGTCCCCGTTTCTCGAAACCCCCGCAAACTTTTCGGGCCCGCAAAGCCATTTTTAATTAATCCGTATCTAAAAACTGAGAGTTGTACACTCCTGAAACTTCTTGTATAAAGGGCACCTCTCTTCGTATTAAGAATATGTGAATAAAACAGCCATGTAGTCATAAGGATTGATTGAGATTTTGCTACGGCTTTTCAGCATCGACAACTTTTCGGGACCCTCGAGAAACGGGTCACCATGACCCTTGGAAGGGGAGGGGCTTATCTTCGGAACGCCGAGGGAGGGTATTCTGTCCACCGTTTTTGTTCTTGTTGGTGCTGTAATTTAACCACCTGCAAACTACTTTAATGCGCCGTCCTTGTATTTATTTGTTTTTCTGTCTTCTTTTTCCTTCCTTCTTGTTTTCAGCAAGGATTCCCAATATTTTGCACTTTATGCACCATCAATACCATTTGCAGAGAAATGCTACAGATATGGTGAGTATATCAGGCGTTATCTAAAGACAAGACATCATGCCCCATCCTACATTCATTTATCGTTGAGTTTAAAATGCTCACGAACTTGCTATTTCCTCTTCTGATGTTGCAGTTGACGAGAAAATGCCACACGAGGCTGGGTACGATTCATTCCTCTCCGGTTTCGGTCAGTACTTATCAAGTATTTGTTTGTTTCTCAGACTTTGTAGGAATTACGATAATAGGGAGTTTATGAAAACCGCAACGGTACAAACGGCAACGGGAACGTCGCTAAACAAAAGGTTTAATGAGCAGAACTATGGTTGTGCACGTGCGTTGTAATTCTTGGTACATTTCTTTGCTGTCCTTGGCAAAACAACAACGTGAAATGACCAAATTCTGCGTTGTCTGGAGAAAGTGAACCACAACGGCTAATTTTTGAAATTTCTGTTTCAAATTTATCGCTGTGTGCCAAGGTCCAGTGTCATTACAAGAGCTTATATTTCTTGAATGTGTTTTCAACAGTGTTCCTACGGATGGCCCATATCCTAGCCTATAAGGTATCAAAGTAAGTGATCAAAATCGTATTTTTCCTTAGAATTTCTATAATTGTCAATCAGACGGATGAGAGAATTACGAAAACCACGAACTAAGGAATATTGTTCTGATGTTCCACCAAGTTCTGACCGCTAATACCAAAAGAAATGTAAGGCATTTTTTAAGGAAAATTGACATTTATCTCTTGGTTACAAACTGTATAACTGTTATTGGTGCTTCTCTGTGTTTACTCAGGCCTCCAGAAGGTCCGCTACCCTTCTCCAAGTTTCTTCGCGTGCTCAAACCGTTCGAGAATCTAATTCACCTGAGCAGAGCACGAGTACAGCACGTGGTATGTATCTTATGACCCTTGATTATAATACATGCACTCTGTTTTTTTTTCTTCAATATAATCAGAGGTTTCATTGCGGACCAAGCACTGGGCAAACTGATCGGCTGTAAGGGTGATTTTGCCCGCCTGGTTTGATCGTCTGGAAGAAAGTTTTTCTTTTAAAGATTTTCAGTTTTAAAAGGTTTGCCCGCCTTTGAAAACCAGTTGCTCTCCTGCTGAAAATGTAAAAAACTGAGGAGCTTTTACATAAAAACGTCGAGCGTGATATTTAAGAACATATCGTCAGTTACATAAGCGAAATTTTTTGATCTTTCGTCTCGTTTTTTCCATCAAGCTTTAAAATAAATACAGTACTTGAACATGTCCAATACTCCGTTCTGAGAAATGAAACAAAACGAGTAACATACAGCATAATTTCTGTCGCATGATATGGATACACTTGCTGTGTTTAAAATTAGCAAACCTCTTTGAAAACCTGAAACTAAAAACAAAATTGCAAAGGAAAAAGGAAACAACGTGCAATGTAACCTTGATAGAGCGGTTTCAAAAAAATTGAGGGCCGTTTAACCAAAACCAAACCAATACTAAACTACCAATTAGACTACCCAACCAATCTCGCGCCGTAGTGAAACCAAAACCAAAACCAAAGTAATTGTCTGATTACTTTCGACAATCAATTGAAAAACCGCTCTCTATATGTTATAAGGAATACAAGTTCTAGTGACGAAGAAATAATCTTTCGTTACATCGTAAAGAAACAATTCATTCTCTCTTTCTCTTCTTCTCAGAACCTAACTGGTCCGGACCCACCCTCTGTTCGTCCACAGTGGCTTTACGTAACGTCTAAAGTTAAGAAGAAGCCGCTTGTTGCTAGGACGGTGCGTGCTGAAGTAGAATAGATGGAACTATTGTAAAATAATCAGTCGCTATTTTGCCCTGTTTACCCTGTGTTTTTTTGGGTGTGAAGTTTTTACGGAGAGAAATAACGACGGAGAACGGGCTTTACTCTCCTCACAACTCACTCTAAGTCGTCAGTTGTAACACTAATATTTTTTTTTTTGCCTGTTACAGTTAGCGCAAGAGTTCTCGCAGTTTGGTTCAGTGGATGTGAAAATTTTGGACTCGCAACATGCACTGGTCGCTGTTGCTCAGCACAGAAGGTGAGAGGATTAGCACTCTAATGAAGGGCAGTTAACCTTGATTATGTTGAACAGATCTTCATTTTGAAGCTGGGGTACATCTGACTCACCTCGCACTAAATTTCTGGGTAACAACCAGAAAATCTTCTTTAACAAAAAAACTTTGAAACTTGCAGTTAAGCATGTGCGCTCCTCAGTTCACTGAAAAATTTTGAGCTTTAAAGTCGCATAACCGTCGGTTTCCTTTCTTAAGTGTTCTTGGGAACTGAATTTTTCAGTAATATTTCTAACTCTTCCTCGAAACATCAGATCAATTAGAAAGCGTTGCTATTACGTTACCAGGAATTGAATGTGCTTTCGGATATTTGCAATCATGAGACTGGCAATTTTGAAGTTAGCCCTAAGGTCGTCTTCGTGCATATTTGCTTAGACCAGGATCATAATCTCTTGGTACGGACTATTCCCAAGAATTGTCGCGTTTCAACCGAAAGTGTTCCACTAAGAAACGTCAACCTTATGAACCCAAACCGATTTGCCCTAAGGTCGTCTTCGTGCATATTTGCTTAGACCAGGATCATAATTTCTTGGTACGGAATATTCCCAAGAATTGCCGCGTTTCAACCGAAAGTGTTCTACTGAGAAACATCAACCTTATGAACCCAAACCTGTTACGGTTGGAACGGTTGATCCCAACAGAACACGACCAAAGATAGGTTTCATTTCCAGGAAAGACAAACGCTCAATAAGTCTCTTAAAATATATTTGAGTGCAGTACTGTGTACTGCTAGTGCGCGTAGTAAAAAGGTACAGCGATGCTACACAATCTTAGATTTCCGCACAGAAGATCTACTGACAGAATTTTTTACACGCTAAGTAGAAAGTGTTCGTTGCAGCCGTCCTGAAGTAGCCGGTCTACCGGTAAAAACGAATGCTTCACTCCCACCCTGATGCGCGTTCGGAAGCCCCACTGGGTGGGGCTGGGGCTGAAGTCGTTCTTAAAGCCTCCAAGGAAGTGATCTTATTTCATGTTCAGTTTTCTTTAATTCCATGAAATTTATTTGTAACTCTTTTTTTTTTTATTAGAGCAAAAGATGTTTTACGGACCTTCAGACGGCACAAGACGCTGAGTGTTCGACCATACAACTCATTTTTAGATTCGCCCAAGATAAAAATAGCTCTGTGGTAAGTAAGAGACTAAATAATACTGAACATCCACCGAGATATTAAGGAGAGCCGGAGCCGAGGGGAAAACGAAAGCGTATGGGGTCTTTCTGTTTTTGTCTATTTTAAGAAGAGTTGGTTGGTTGTTGTTGTTGTTGTTGTTGTTGTTTTTTTTTCATGTGGCGACTCTTTCGTGCAAAAAGCGAAACTGTCATAGCATTTGTGTTCACCTATGGGCTGAAGCAGATTATGTGTATCGTAGAGTCGTAGAGCGAAAAACGTTTCGCTTTTTCAAATTCCCCTCTACGAAACGTAAATTCAAATTCAATTGGAAAAAGATAGACGATTCTCAGTTAACATTTATTCTATTTTGTCGGCAATAAAGGAAAGTAAAAGAAAACCTTACTGCGTGCCTTGCACAAAATATTCATTGGTAGCAGTTTTAAAACGCACGAATTCCTTATTTTGCGGTCCATTATTATCATAGATCTGAAACTTATTTCCCTAGTTGTTGTCTTATGTGGGCAGGTGTTTTCTCTGGTACAGAGATGATAATGACTTTAAAATACTACAGCTGCCCACGAAAGCGAAATGTTCATTTCTAGGACAGGCTCTTGGACAAGGACAAGATCCTTCGATTTAGCAGTTACCAGGAAGAATGTATACCTAAAAGTAGCGTGTTGCTTCGTCGGAAAAACCTTAAAAACTAAAACGTGCAGAGATCGAAGAACAACTGCTTTTATAAACACGGAAGAAAAAAGAATTCAATCTAATCGTGTGGAATATCACGTTTGATAATATTTTAACTTTCAGCTGCCGACTTTTTTCCGGTGGATTAATTTATAGCTTGTGAATCCAACGTTCTTTTTTTTGGTTAAGGCAACAATATGCCCAAAATAGACGCTGTTTTCTATCTTTCCAAGCCGACAATATTGTTTTATTTTCTATTTATTTGCTAGGTGCAGCGGAACCGCTGTGGTCCTCTCGGCTGTCGCAGTGTATTTATGGAAATCTTGGACATAGCAGTTAATTTATTAATCGAAAGAAAACATTCAGTAATTACTGGTCGGGGTCGGGTGGAAAAAGTTTCGAACCAAGCTGTTGTGTGATGTTTTTTTCATAAATCCTATTTTCAATAACTTAAATTTCTTCTACGGTTTCTCTAACTTCGTATGTACTAGCAATAAAGATTTCGTCTCTACAAGGAATAATTTCAAACAAAGGTGGCTAAACATAGTGTTCATTATTTCCTTGGGAAATTTCATTTTCGCGTTAAATGAATTTTCTTTTATCTCTAACGTCTTTTTAGTTCTGTAACGATCAAACTTCGATTAAACAAGCAAAACGAAGCGAGCGAAATGTGTTCTCTTTAAAGTTACGGGGATACGGGGATTTATTTCGCCCAAAGATGAGGAACTGTTTCGTTGGGAAGTTACATTTTTGCTATAGTTGAATTTTCTTTTATCTCTAATGCCTTTTCATCTCTATGAGAATAGAACTTACTGCATGCAAACTAACAAAACAGAGTGATGAGAATTTCGTCTCTTAAGACACTGGCTTAAGATCGGATAATCCCGAAACTCATTTACATAATATTTATTTTACCGTACTGTGAATGAATTCTCGCATGTTGCAGCCGTTTGCGTTAGTTTTATAGTAGAACGTTTTCTAAATAAAACCTCGTGTGTTTTCTGCATTTTCAGTGTAATGTTGTTTTGTTTATTTGTTGCTGTTTTCACTAAAATTTGAACCTCGGTGAGTTGGGGTAAGATTCTATCGTGTGCGACTTGGAAAAATAAGATGTTCAATATTTGTCTTAGACGGTGGATGCAAGAAATTATCACGTCTGGCATAAGCGGCCATTACACGTTTTTACATGTGCATGTTTAAAGTGTGAGTTGACAGTGAAGAATACAGAAATTGCTTAGGCCTTGTACAAACAATACATGCACAAAACGAACATAATTTTTCTTTTTAACCTAGCGAAAGCAATTTCCATGTTATTGTTAGAAGGTGCTTAAAATAGCCAATCAGCGAGTCGCTCACTAAGTCATTGAAGGGAAAAATCAATAATTTAATACCCAGGCGAGGGTTTGATCGGATCATTAACATAAAGTGTGTTGATGTGTTTCTACGACTAAAAACGATGGAAGCGCTTGGTGAAGGTCTGGACGATGACAGCGACATCGCCGAAAATCGCCTCCTAGAAACCGAGGACTCCAGTTGTGTTTGTAGTAAAGTGTGGGAGAAAGATTTCATCTGTGGATGGGCGCCATCGCTCGAGCGCAAAGTTTCACGGAAGCCAACAAAACACGCGTCGTTAAGCAACCCAAGGAAGGACGGGAAAATTGCCCTTGCCGATTGTGGGTTTGTTTTTCGACATTATGAGAAATCTAATCGCTATATCGAACAGTACAGGGAAAATCATTGCAGTACGTTCTTGGAGCGAGAAGATGAATGGAGGCCAGTATTGGGGGTCGACGTTCCCGATCCATACTTGCCCAAGATTGGGGCTTTGAGGTGAGCTTTTGTTTACATCATGTTTTAATTGTTTGCTGTGGGGTTGTACTCGGTTTTGAACGCTATTGTTAAGAAGGGAAAATGTTTTAAAAGGCAATAATATGTCACCTAACTCAGTCTAAACTTCAAGAGTTATACGCCTTGGAATTCAATTTTTAAAAACGAGGAAATCTAAATGGTTTCTTAATAACAGAAGTAGGCATGTTTTGCTCGCATTTGGTATCATAAAATAAACTGACAGGTTGATTGATGTCAAATGGATTTGCAGGTTGTTCAAACGACTTCCTTAAACGAAGAAACTTGAAAATGTTCAAAGTTTTGATCAACGAAACGAAATCTTGGCTCCGCTGTGATTATTTTTGTGCAAGCTTCATAATCTTCTCAGAAGTTGCGAAATACAACTTCAAGCGACGTTGTTGGTAGTTACGAAGAATATCTATTTTCTGTAATTTTCGTTCAGCCTAATGAACCTATCTACAGTTGCACGCCTGAAATACTGACACATTAACTTCGGCATGTATTTGGCCAAATTTCATGTTTATATGCTTAATTAGACATTTGGCCCGAGGGCCCGGCAATATGTTTCTACGAAACAATACATTGCGGATCAAAGTTATTGCGCCGTAATTTTCACCCACAATCTTATCTGATTAAAATAGTTTGCGAATATAGCTTCATGCTGAAATGGGCAATTCAACACAAAGTGAATCTTGCATTAGTTTTCGTATATTTTTTAGGTAGAAGAAAGCGAAAAGCCTGAGTTGATAGAAGACGTGTTTCGAGGGCGTCTACCATACTTGCGAAGGTTGTTGGCGTGTGGAGAAATATTGAACACTGTAAACTTGTAAGCACGCAAAACGGATGATTTCAGAGGATGATATTGCGCCATTTGCCCTGAATTTTCATGAGTTTTTCTGCGTATTAATGCGCGATTTTTTATGGCGTTGCCTTTGCGCTCTTAGTATCTTTTAAATGTCTTTAATTTTTTCTTAGCTTTACAATAATCGCATCTCGGTCAAAATTAATGAAACACTTTCAGTTTTCAGAGTTTCAATATAGCTCAGTATCGTATTCTCGTTCGTTGAGTTTGTGAAGTGACCTGTCATGATATGGCCAACCATAAATTTACTTATTTTAACTTTTCGCTTAGTTTGCTCTCCCTAAAAACGTTTTTTTCCATGAACAATAAATTCTAGTTGTGTGATTTTATCAGAATGTCCGATCAAAGATGCCATTCCGCCAACACCCACAATTTCCGTACTTAAGGATGTTTTAAGAACTTGGCAGCGTTTAGCGTAAGAAATTGCGCGCAAGAAACTCGTTAAATCCCGCGTGAAGTTTTTAAGCAATATAGCTGTTAGCTACAAATATGTAGCGAAACGAAATTGGCCAAAACTCTGTGAATCCTGCTTTTCACCCCACCGAGCGGGGATGGACACAAATACAGACGAAAGGTGAATTATTTCTGATCGTTATAAATATTTTATATATTCCTTTTGATGCAATTGGGTTCAAATAATTTGTCTCCCATTCACGCAATTTTACGGGTTTCTAGTTAGGCCTATTTCGTGAAAAATTATTTGCACATAGTTTGTGGTAAGCTTCAGCTAAACGAGCAAAGATTGCTATCAAGCTTTGTGTTGGATGAACACACCAAGCAATGAAACATTGCTCGTCGCGCGTGTTAAATGAAAATGTCTGGCTTGGTGTGGTGAACGGTGTTGGATCAAAATATTTGATCGCTCAGCCGCGATGTTATTAACTTTCCGTCTTTGCCGAGCCATTTTAAAATAATCCTCACATTCGTATCATTTGTTTAAAAATTCTTTTTCAGTGACTCATCTGAAATTTTTTACCTGATTAAATAGATCAAACGTTTGAAGTGAAGGCTCGCATTTTTCTCGTCTTCCATCTAAACATTTCTCAGAAGTATCATCCATATTTCCTTTCCATCTGCTCCATTCTATGTGGGGTGTAAGTTTATACTTTCTCCAGCCATGTCTTATTGCTACGTAATATTTTCACTTCAGCAAAACTGTTTTTGATCGAGTGAAGTTCATCGAGGCCATATCAGACTACTACAAAGTGGCAGCAATGAGAAGGTAAGGACATTAATTTGCGTTTCCTTTTTAAACGGTCAGACTTATCACTTTCGACTGACTTTCAAGAGCAATTATGGGTTTTCTTTTCGAATTTATTTGCTAAGCTCTGTAATTGCTCTAACCAGTCAAAGCAAACAAACAGTTTTTTTCAACCAATCAGAAGGCGAAATCAAAAACCAGCGGCTGTTTTTCCCGCGCTTGGAAGGGGTCGCATGTTTTTGCCCGAGTTTTCATTGGCTCGTGGCGTTATTTTCGTTTGTTGAGATTGGCCAAATTTGCTACCGTTGTTTACGACTATCAATAGCCGGCGGAAAACCGTTTTAAATGGACGCAAGCAATTCTCAGTCTTTCGGTTACACCTGATCATCTTTAAGAAAGTAGATTCCTTTCTGACACTAATAAGTAAGAACCAAGTAATGTTTGAACTTCTGACTGAGATGACAGAGGTGTTTTATTACTGTTGTTAAAGTCACACCAAACGGTGTAGCTAAACCACGCGGCGACTAATAAGAACTCAAGGTAAAAACACGTGATCGGAAAAGCCCCGCTGGTTTTGGTTTTGCACCTGCGATTGGTTAAAAAACAATGTCTAAACTGTGATTGGTCACGTTGTCTTGCACAAGTTTTCAGACGGGCCAATCCCAGGGCGCAGCAAACAAAGACCAAAACAAACATAATGTNAAACATAGTGTTCATTATTTCCTTGGGAAATTTCATTTTCGCGTTAAATGAATTTTCTTTTATCTCTAACGTCTTTTTAGTTCTGTAACGATCAAACTTCGATTAAACAAGCAAAACGAAGCGAGCGAAATGTGTTCTCTTTAAAGTTACGGGGATACGGGGATTTATTTCGCCCAAAGATGAGGAACTGTTTCGTTGGGAAGTTACATTTTTGCTATAGTTGAATTTTCTTTTATCTCTAATGCCTTTTCATCTCTATGAGAATAGAACTTACTGCATGCAAACTAACAAAACAGAGTGATGAGAATTTCGTCTCTTAAGACACTGGCTTAAGATCGGATAATCCCGAAACTCATTTACATAATATTTATTTTACCGTACTGTGAATGAATTCTCGCATGTTGCAGCCGTTTGCGTTAGTTTTATAGTAGAACGTTTTCTAAATAAAACCTCGTGTGTTTTCTGCATTTTCAGTGTAATGTTGTTTTGTTTATTTGTTGCTGTTTTCACTAAAATTTGAACCTCGGTGAGTTGGGGTAAGATTCTATCGTGTGCGACTTGGAAAAATAAGATGTTCAATATTTGTCTTAGACGGTGGATGCAAGAAATTATCACGTCTGGCATAAGCGGCCATTACACGTTTTTACATGTGCATGTTTAAAGTGTGAGTTGACAGTGAAGAATACAGAAATTGCTTAGGCCTTGTACAAACAATACATGCACAAAACGAACATAATTTTTCTTTTTAACCTAGCGAAAGCAATTTCCATGTTATTGTTAGAAGGTGCTTAAAATAGCCAATCAGCGAGTCGCTCACTAAGTCATTGAAGGGAAAAATCAATAATTTAATACCCAGGCGAGGGTTTGATCGGATCATTAACATAAAGTGTGTTGATGTGTTTCTACGACTAAAAACGATGGAAGCGCTTGGTGAAGGTCTGGACGATGACAGCGACATCGCCGAAAATCGCCTCCTAGAAACCGAGGACTCCAGTTGTGTTTGTAGTAAAGTGTGGGAGAAAGATTTCATCTGTGGATGGGCGCCATCGCTCGAGCGCAAAGTTTCACGGAAGCCAACAAAACACGCGTCGTTAAGCAACCCAAGGAAGGACGGGAAAATTGCCCTTGCCGATTGTGGGTTTGTTTTTCGACATTATGAGAAATCTAATCGCTATATCGAACAGTACAGGGAAAATCATTGCAGTACGTTCTTGGAGCGAGCAGATGAATGGAGGCCAGTATTGGGGGTCGACGTTCCCGATCCATACTTGCCCAAGATTGGGGCTTTGAGGTGAGCTTTTGTTTACATCATGTTTTAATTGTTTGCTGTGGGGTTGTACTCGGTTTTGAACGCTATTGTTAAGAAGGGAAAATGTTTTAAAAGGCAATAATATGTCACCTAACTCAGTCTAAACTTCAAGAGTTATACGCCTTGGAATTCAATTTTTAAAAACGAGGAAATCTAAATGGTTTCTTAATAACAGAAGTAGGCATGTTTTGCTCGCATTTGGTATCATAAAATAAACTGACAGGTTGATTGATGTCAAATGGATTTGCAGGTTGTTCAAACGACTTCCTTAAACGAAGAAACTTGAAAATGTTCAAAGTTTTGATCAACGAAACGAAATCTTGGCTCCGCTGTGATTATTTTTGTGCAAGCTTCATAATCTTCTCAGAAGTTGCGAAATACAACTTCAAGCGACGTTGTTGGTAGTTACGAAGAATATCTATTTTCTGTAATTTTCGTTCAGCCTAATGAACCTATCTACAGTTGCACGCCTGAAATACTGACACATTAACTTCGGCATGTATTTGGCCAAATTTCATGTTTATATGCTTAATTAGACATTTGGCCCGAGGGCCCGGCAATATGTTTCTACGAAACAATACATTGCGGATCAAAGTTATTGCGCCGTAATTTTCACCCACAATCTTATCTGATTAAAATAGTTTGCGAATATAGCTTCATGCTGAAATGGGCAATTCAACACAAAGTGAATCTTGCATTAGTTTTCGTATATTTTTTAGGTAGAAGAAAGCGAAAAGCCTGAGTTGATAGAAGACGTGTTTCGAGGGCGTCTACCATACTTGCGAAGGTTGTTGGCGTGTGGAGAAATATTGAACACTGTAAACTTGTAAGCACGCAAAACGGATGATTTCAGAGGATGATATTGCGCCATTTGCCCTGAATTTTCATGAGTTTTTCTGCGTATTAATGCGCGATTTTTTATGGCGTTGCCTTTGCGCTCTTAGTATCTTTTAAATGTCTTTAATTTTTTCTTAGCTTTACAATAATCGCATCTCGGTCAAAATTAATGAAACACTTTCAGTTTTCAGAGTTTCAATATAGCTCAGTATCGTATTCTCGTTCGTTGAGTTTGTGAAGTGACCTGTCATGATATGGCCAACCATAAATTTACTTATTTTAACTTTTCGCTTAGTTTGCTCTCCCTAAAAACGTTTTTTTCCATGAACAATAAATTCTAGTTGTGTGATTTTATCAGAATGTCCGATCAAAGATGCCATTCCGCCAACACCCACAATTTCCGTACTTAAGGATTTTTTAAGAACTTGGCAGCGCTTAGCGTAAGAAATTGCGCGCAAGAAACTCGTTAAATCCCGCGTGAAGTTTTTAAGCAATATAGCTGTTAGCTACAAATATGTAGCGAAACGAAATTGGCCAAAACTCTGTGAATCCTGCTTTTCACCCCACCGAGCGGGGATGGACACAAATACAGACGAAAGGTGAATTATTTCTGATCGTTATAAATATTTTATATATTCCTTTTGATGCAATTGGGTTCAAATAATTTGTCTCCCATTCACGCAATTTTACGGGTTTCTAGTTAGGCCTATTTCGTGAAAAATTATTTGCACATAGTTTGTGGTAAGCTTCAGCTAAACGAGCAAAGATTGCTATCAAGCTTTGTGTTGGATGAACACACCAAGCAATGAAACATTGCTCGTCGCGCGTGTTAAATGAAAATGTCTGGCTTGGTGTGGTGAACGGTGTTGGATCAAAATATTTGATCGCTCAGCCGCGATGTTATTAACTTTCCGTCTTTGCCGAGCCATTTTAAAATAATCCTCACATTCGTATCATTTGTTTAAAAATTCTTTTTCAGTGACTCATCTGAAATTTTTTACCTGATTAAATAGATCAAACGTTTGAAGTGAAGGCTCGCATTTTTCTCGTCTTCCATCTAAACATTTCTCAGAAGTATCATCCATATTTCCTTTCCATCTGCTCCATTCTATGTGGGGTGTAAGTTTATACTTTCTCCAGCCATGTCTTATTGCTACGTAATATTTTCACTTCAGCAAAACTGTTTTTGATCGAGTGAAGTTCATCGAGGCCATATCAGACTACTACAAAGTGGCAGCAATGAGAAGGTAAGGACATTAATTTGCGTTTCCTTTTTAAACGGTCAGACTTATCACTTTCGACTGACTTTCAAGAGCAATTATGGGTTTTCTTTTCGAATTTATTTGCTAAGCTCTGTAATTGCTCTAACCAGTCAAAGCAAACAAACAGTTTTTTTCAACCAATCAGAAGGCGAAATCAAAAACCAGCGGCTGTTTTTCCCGCGCTTGGAAGGGGTCGCATGTTTTTGCCCGAGTTTTCATTGGCTCGTGGCGTTATTTTCGTTTGTTGAGATTGGCCAAATTTGCTACCGTTGTTTACGACTATCAATAGCCGGCGGAAAACCGTTTTAAATGGACGCAAGCAATTCTCAGTCTTTCGGTTACACCTGATCATCTTTAAGAAAGTAGATTCCTTTCTGACACTAATAAGTAAGAACCAAGTAATGTTTGAACTTCTGACTGAGATGACAGAGGTGTTTTATTACTGTTGTTAAAGTCACACCAAACGGTGTAGCTAAACCACGCGGCGACTAATAAGAACTCAAGGTAAAAACACGTGATCGGAAAAGCCCCGCTGGTTTTGGTTTTGCACCTGCGATTGGTTAAAAAACAATGTCTAAACTGTGATTGGTCACGTTGTCTTGCACAAGTTTTCAGACGGGCCAATCCCAGGGCGCAGCAAACAAAGACCAAAACAAACATAATGTCATTAAAGCCGATAGCCAGAAGAAACTTCTTTTGTGTGTATTCTTAAATCGCGCTTACTTATTGAAGTTCTTTTTGCAGTGATCTACAAAACATCTGTCTCACAGGGAAGAGAACAGACAATGCTGATCGAAAACCCGCGCCGAGCGGCAATGGCGGCAAGTTGAACAGTGAGGTTCTACCTTTCATAGTAACTGCTTCAAACGGCAAACAAGTTTCCCAGAAAACTGGAAAAGGAAAACTGAGCACCACGGTGGAGGAAGAAAAATCGGATGCGGCAAAAAGTCGCCAAGATGTTGTTCCAACCGCTCCCGAGTTAACTAAAGATACTATTCTCCCATGCGTGCCTTCAAAGCCTGACGTACCGCATCACATGGAAGAGAAACCGATTTCAAACTCAGCCACACATCAATCGGCAGACGAATCGAGACGATTTCACAAAGAAAGAATTCGTCTTCCGAAGTTTCAGTGGACAGAATGTTCCGTTAAAAATCACCGAACGGCAAGAGAGAAAAACATTATGACCTCAAAGGTTGAAAGGAAGGATAAACCAATTGTGGAAACGCTTCCGAGTAGTGAGAGTGATGAAAATGTTTTGCTTCCAACTCGGCAATTGAACTCGCGAGGTAACCTGCAGTTGGGAAGTACGGTTCCATCTGCGAACGCTAAATCAAAGCTAACGCACGTGGCGGTTGGTAAATGCGAGATATTTAGCTCGACAAATTCATCGAGCGCTGATCGCATTCCAAAACCTTACCAGACCGCGAGAAAACTTCCTAGTGAAAGTGCTTTTATTCGGATTCGAGGGCAACAAACGGGCCCACCGCCCAAAGAGGCCAGTAAGAATGCATCGAAAGATTCGAACAAAGAAAGGCCGAGTACGAGCGAAAAGGTGTTATTGAACCAGAATGTACCTCTTCAATACATGAGCCGATTTGGTCGAAGAAAGTTCCATCACGTGTTAGAGGCGCGGTCGTTTAAGCCTGCGGAGAAGAAACTTAGAGCTGCTGCTTTAGCAGATTTTCATAATTAGAGGTCGTACCCTTAAATACCCTGAAGAAATAATCTAGGCAAAATTTGCTGATTTTGTTTCTACGGAATTACTGTATAAAACTTTGCGGTATCTGATAAGTTCTAAGACGACACTAAGTTCTAAGAAGAAAGTTATTTATGACTGAGATGAAATTTGAAGAAACCAATTTCTACAACGATTAAACTCCACCGGAGAAAATATTTGGCGTTTATTGAGCTGCGTTTTCACACGCCATGATAATCAGTTTAGGCCCCGTCCACCGTTTACGCCGGAGAAATTTAAAACGGCGTTTTCACTCTCAAAACGCATCAAATGTTTTCCGTCCACACTACACCGGAGAAATTTGAAAACGCATCAATCAGCGGTCATTGTGGATTTGTGTTTGAGGAAAACTCGCTCAAGGAAATCACATGGTCATCGTTTTCGAAAAGCTCTGTTTTCAAAACGTTCTCCGTCCACACTAAAACGCGTAGCCGGCGTTTTCAAATTCCTCTGGTTTGAAGAGCGTTTCCGAAAAGCTCCGTTTTCGTGACGGATTAGTGTGGACGGTAGGCCTAACCGTAGAAAGAAAGCTGCGTTTTCAAATTTCTCCGGCGTAGCGTAGACGGAGCATTAGCCAAAAGCCTACACTTAGCCATTGATCACTCTGGTTAGGAAGGGTTAAAATCTGGTTTGAAAACAAAAATAAAACAATTTATCCGAGAAAGAGTAAATATGCAATATAATATAAAAGTTAATCATGTGCGTTTTTACCGGCTCGGAGGTAAAACCCACCCTTCCCTAGAGGAAGAAATGACTCCATGTCCCAAGCACAAGACATNGCCTGCGGAGAAGAAACTTAGAGCTGCTGCTTTAGCAGATTTTCATAATTAGAGGTCGTACCCTTAAATAAGTGAACCTGAAGAAATAATCTAGGCAAAATTTGCTGATTTTGTTTCTACGGAATTACGGCATAAAACTTTGCGGTATCTGATAAGTTCTAAGACGACACTAAGTTCTAAGAAGAAAGTTATTTATGACTGAGATGAAATTTGAAGAAACCAATTTCTACAACGATTAAACTCCACCGGAGAAAATATGTGGCGTTTATTGAGTTGCGTTTTCACTCTGAGAACGCATCAAATGTTTTCCGTCAACACTACACCGGAGAAAGTTGAAAACGCATCAATCAGCGGTCATTGTGGATTTGCGTTTGAGGAAAACTCGCTCAGGGAAATCACATGGTCATCGTTTTCGAAAAGCTCTGTTTTCAAAACGTTTTCCGTCCACACTAAAACGCGTAGCCAGCGTTTTCAAATTCCTCCGGTTTGATGAGCGTTTTCGAAAAGCTCCGTTTTCGTGACGGATTAGTGTAGACGGTAGGCCTAACCGTTGAAATAAAGCTGCGTTTTCAAATTTCTCCGGCGTGATGTGAACGGAGCCTTACCCAAAAGCCTACTCTTGGCTATTGATCACTCTGGTTTGGAAGGGTTAAAATCTGGTTTGAAAACAAAAATATAACAATTTATCGGAGAAAGAGTAAATATGCAATATAATA